ATGAAAGGGGGTATCGTGCCCTATGCCGATTTTACTTCTTCGGCTCTCTGGAGAAGAACTTGCGACTACCAGGGGTCGAAGCTCCAAGAAGCTTCGCCGTGGCGGGCCTGCCGAGGGTACCGGAAGGCCCGGCGAGCCTTCGATATCATGCACCTTTGCCACTTGGGCTTCATCCGTGACGTCATCGGAAGTGTTTTGAAGGACACCTTGGAGAGCGGTGTCTTGTCCGATGCATCTAAACCTTAAAACCCTAAACCCTAAACCGTTTTTGAGCACGTACATATAGATTGCTTTGCATGTGTGCTTTTCTTTGTTCTAGTACCGAGTGGCAAACAGCATTGAGGGGTTTTGGATCCGATGTGTTCAGTTGCAATCCGATGGCAGGTGAGCTGCAGAGGTTTGTCCAACTGCCTGGAGGAACCTGGGACGAGTGCTTGCACGCTTGGACAAGGATGGCACAGCGATTTGCAAAGGACCGAAAACTTGATCTCTACATGAAACCACTGACAGCCGCCAACTGTGGATTGACTCAGATCGCCTACCCGGAGTTGACTTCGAGGGTGAAGGCCAGCAAAGCAAGGGTTTTGCTGGCTTTCACTTGCCACTTCGATATGGCATTGGATCAAGAGGGAGCGAACTCACATGCTTTGCTGCGGCAACGAATGGTTTGGAACCTTGATTCTGCCCTCTCCATCTTCGGAACGGCGAGCCGCCCGCATGCTGCAACTTCCGATGTCCATCTCGGCTGCCGACGCTTCACAACATTCTTGTTGAGCTATCAGAAGCTGGCTCTGAATGCACTGCAGCAGCAGCGGCTGCTGTTCAAGCTGAGACCCAAGCTGCACTACCTCCAGCACCTCATTCTGGACACGCAGCAGACGGAATTGAACGCAATGGCGATGTCGAATTTCGGTGATGAAGACCACATGAAGGTTCTCAAGTCCGTCAGTCATGCATGTCATCCGGGGAAGGTTCTCACGAGCTGGGCCAAAAGGTATCTCATCAAGAAGTGCCTCTTGCTGCGACGTTACGAGTACAGGCCGCAGTCCTGAAGAAAAGACGGCGACAGCTGGGAACCTGCAACCTTACGAAGCCCGAGATTCCCAACAGCAGAATTTGCATCCACACATATACACATACATGACTATATCTTCGTATATATATATATATATATATATATTATTGGAACCCTAAATGCCCTAATGCCTTCAATATGAACCCTAACCCTAAACCCTAACCCCTAAGGAAGCCCTACAAATTTTGGCTCAAATTCAGGCTCAAATGATTTTCGCTTGACGAAAATCATGACACGTTAAGCCTTGGCTCAAGTTTGTTGTGGGTTTAAGAGAAAACCTAATTGATGTATGAACGGCTCAAAAGCGATGCCGATGCACACCCGACCCTAGTTACTAGTTTATGTGCAGGGGTAGTTTCTTGGCGATTGGCGAGCGAAAGCTTTGTACAGAAATTCTGCGGGATTCGAGTCTTCAAAACCGTCAACAGGCCGCAAAGAAAAGATTAGCTTTTATTCTGGGAATCCAAGCCGCCCACAAGAAACGCTTAAGGTCCCAGCACAGCCGGGAGAAAAGCTTGAAATGCTGCGGTATTTAAGCTTTCTTTGGCTTGCTTAAGCTTTTTGACAGGACAAGCTGAGCTTTTAATTAACGCCCGCTGGGATCCTATCCACAATAGCCAGGGCGCTATCCGACTTGTTGCTAACCGCGATGAAGTCGTCATCGGATAGCTGGTATAGCCAAGGGGGATCGTGTATCCCGCCTTTGTGGACCTGTCGTCCTCTATCCCCCATCTGCGCGAAAATTCTATCCTGGCGACTTCCCTTCTCATAGCTCTTGAGGGGCCAGTTAGCCCGGTGGTTGTATATCCAGGTCTGATCTATGCCCCCTTCGAGGCCCCATGGTCGCCCCTTAGCCTGGCTCGGCGGAGGTGCCATTACCCGGTGCACGACCTCTGGCTCCTCTCGGAGCAGCTCGGAGGACGGCCTATCCAGGTTGACGTTAGCCGCCCTGCTCCTTTCCGGTGCTATCCTGCCCTCTTCCGCCATAGCCTCCCATTGGGCCTCATTGTACCGGCCAGCCCCTAGCCTTCTATCCACCGTGGTCGGACTGGGTGGATGCAGCCGTCCTTGCGTCGCCCTTTCGACTTGGTCCTCTCCCGCTGCTTGTTCTTGGCCTTGGTCTGCTGGAACGTCGGATAGGGACTGGCTTGCCGAATGCCTCGTACGGTGGGATGGCCCCTGTGCTGGCCTCCTCTGACCCTCCAGCCCGGGTCTCCTCTTGCCTAGCCGATCTCCTGCAACATATCCAGCCGAGGGTCGGCCGCACTGGCCGTGGCTGGCTCTGTAGCTGTTGCCTGGAGGGGGTATTCTCGAGATCATCGCTCTGCTCAGACTTCCTCTAGCGTCTCGCCTGGCCGGTGTGGCCTTAGCCCAGCAAGCTCGCGGTTCTTGGCTATCCGCTGCTCCAGGTACTGGGCCTCTGTCCGAAAGGGTAGCCTCTAGCCCGTAGGGAATATCATCCCAGAACTCCAGAACTTGGCGTTCTGGTACCTGATTGTCCTGACAGAGAGTCTGCCCCCAGGCTGGATGCCAGCCCCCTCCTGGTATTCGGCTAGCCGCATGTCCCTAGCTTTCCGGACTAGCTGCAGCAGCTCATGTAGCTGCTCATCTCTATCCTCTGGGCTAGCACCCAGGTCTCTCGTCTCCTGTGTTAGCCTGAGAGGTGTCGCTATCACTGGACTGGGGTCCTTCTCGCTGACCCTTAGGCCAACATACTGCAAATGTGTGTACTGGTCGGTCTCCGGTCTAGCCGAGAACTCCTGGGAGTTTTTAAATATCCGGCGACGGCCCATCCAGCACCTGGCCTGGCCCCCCTTGTGTAGCCGAAACTTCTTACCCGGAAGCTCAACTATTATGTAGCTAGTGCACCTAGCCTTCTTAAGTAGCTGCCTCGGCCGGTTCCGGTGTTGCTCCGGTCCCAACTCCGGCTCACTAGCCGAATCTTCGGGTCTATCTTCGGGAGGCTCGCTGGCCGCGACTTCTTCAGGTAGCCCCGGACCATCCACCAGCTCGACGATCCGTTCGCTCGCCCACTCACACCGTAGCTGCAAGCTTGTCGGCGTCGGGTTCGCTAGCCTTGCCCGTTCGAAGTAGCCAGCCACCGAGGTCGCCGGCAATCTCTCTCTCTTCCCTATCCCGGGCTCTCGCCGCTTCCGCGTAGATGGCCTGGAGTCTAGCCACACGACCACCATAGGAGGTATCCGAACCCTCGGGTTTCCATCGCCCCAACATGTCTCCATCCGCCGGGGGGATCGGCTTCAGGCTTAGCCAGGTGGGAAGGCGAGCTCACTGTGCTCCGACCAGTAGCCCCTAGCCACGATCGGGATTCCGACCATCGCCAGTAGCCCCGCTGTCGCCACCATGGTACACTAGCTAGGGTGGGTTGGGTGGGCACTCGAAATTTGCCCCCCAATAGCTGGGGGCCTTTCAGCACAATGGCCACGGAATAGCGCTCATTCCACCGGCCATGTGCAGACACTCTACCCAATAGACCCGGTTAGGCAGAAAGCTGCCTAATCCCGAAATCGTAGGATTCAGCTGAATCGGTCGTTTTCGGCAACACGTTTCGGCAGATCCTTCGGCAAAATCCTTAGGTTTGGGCAGCCCAAAATGAAGCGAATCTTCGGCAGATCCATCGTTGTCCAATTCGACCCATCCTGCCGAATTCGGCAAACCATGGTTTGCCGAATCCGGCAGAATCTGCCGGATTCGGCAACCCGGCCCCGGCCAAACTTCAATCAAACTTCCTCGCCCAGGCCGCCAAAACTTCCACCAAACTTCCTCTCCCGGGCCCCCAAACTTGCACCAAACTTCCTCTCCCAACCCTAAACCCTAAACCCTAAACCCCTAAACCCCTAAACCCTAAACCCTGAACCCAAAACAGAAAAGCCTGTAAATACCAGCAAGAAAGAACTTCGCCCTTGAATCTTTGTCATGTGTGCAAGATTTCCTAGCTTTTCGTGCTCCAAATCGCCAACACGAAACTTCCACCAAACTTCCTCGGTTCAGGCCTTCAAACTTCCACCAAACTTCCTCGGTTCAGGCCTTCAAACTTCCACCAAACTTCCTCTCAAACCCTTTGTAGCCGCCCCAAACTTCCACCAAACTTCGGGCGAAGTTTGGGCAAAACTTCCTCGAAACTTCCTCTGGTCGCGTGTCGAGGGATCGGACACAGTTTTGTCGTATTCGGCAGATTTTGCCGTATTCGGCAACTACTTTCGGTTAACGACTTGTCGATTCGACAACACAGGTTTGCCGAATTCGGCATCTTGTTGTTTTAACGATTCGACAGGAATCTGCCGAAGTCTAACAAGTTACCGGTTCGGCAGAAATCTGTCTAACCGGGTCTATTGGGTAGCTAACAGATAGACACCGTTCTGTTTAGCTTCAGAGGAAAACCCCTTCGACGTTTTCTAGCGAAACACCTTCGATGTTTCACACAGGGATACTAGCGCTAGCATACACTGTCGTACCTCGTACCTCGGCACGAGTGCGTACACTAGCTAGCGTATCCTCCCGCCACCTCCCTCAACACCTCCGGGGAGTACGTAGCAAGCCTAGCTTTAGCTAACTGGCTTCACGCAGTAGCACGGACAACACGAACTTCTCTCTTTTTAGCGTTGTGGCGAAGTCCCGCGTTAGCCCGGAGAAGAACTCTAGCCTTCGGCTAGCTAATCTCCTTGCGCAGCCGTAGGGCTACCAGGGACCTAGCTTACGGGCCTTCTTAGCGAACCTCGGAGCCTTCGGCTCTCCGGTCCTCTTCCTCACTCCTAGCTCTTGGAAGTAGCTAGCCGAGTGTTCGAGGAGACGGCCCAGCACGCGCCACTCTAGCTTCTCCCCCTCCAGGTTCACCCTGAAGTCCGGGGAGAAACTAGCGAAGTTCTCGTTCGTGAGGTCGTCCGCTAGCTGGTTCAGATCCCTGCGGATCCACTGTAGCTGAAGCTCACAGTTCTTAGCGGAGAGTTCCTCCGCTAGCTCCATCAGCACCAAGGTCGATGGGAACTTCGTCGTCATAGCTTTCTTCAGTAGCGCCTCGTTGGACTGGTTGTCAGTGTAGCCACGAATAGCAACCTTGGAGGTCTTCTTAGCGTCCCCTTCTGGGACCCAGAGTTTCACACCGACCAAGGTAGCCAGTAGCTCCAGTGCAGCTATGACCTTGTTCGGGTCCCCTTTAGCAAAAGCCCAGGGGGCCCACTCCTTCTTCACTTCTAGCGAGAACCAGGGGCCGTGGCAGCCGTCCACTAGCTCAAGGAAACCCCCGATCCACACTCGCCCATTCTCGGCCTTAGCGTCGGTGTAGAAGGAGAGTGGCGCTGCACCATCCAGTAGCGAAGCCGGCTTCTGGAGACGGCCTCCCGCTTCCAAGCGGTCTGCTAGCCACCCACAGAGGACGCGGATCATCGTGGGTAGTGTCAGGAATCCCGGTTTCCCCTGGATAGCCGAGGACCAGGCGTGTAGCGGACCAAGGAAGGGGCGCTCCCAGTCTAGCGCCATGGACACGCGGAGTACTCCGTCTCCATGCCTAGCCACTCCACCCGAAATCCCCCGTCGTCTTGGCCCACTTGAAAGGGTATCCAAGACTAGCGAGGAAGAGATAACTTAGCGGGATCCCCATGCGTCCTCCAGCCCCTCGGCCCAAGGACTCGAGGTCGTCGGCATAGAGTAGCATGTCTAGCGGGAACGATGGCCCTAGCAGGTGGTACGTGAGCCAAAGCCCACACGCCGCTATCCGGGTCCACCAGTAGCTTGCGCATGATAGCCCGAAGGTCCACCAGGTTCACGTAGACCGTCTGCCTGTCGGGGTCCCCCGGTATAGCTTCCTCGGTGTCGATCTGACACCCCAGATAGCCATGCTCTCCCTCCGCATGCTTGTAGCATCTGTGGGCTTTAGCAATGTCGCCAACCACGGAGAAGGCCACCTCGTTAGCGTCGATGTGCTCGCGGAGCAGCTGCTTCTTTTCCCTAGCCCGGCACTTG